GTTTGCTAGAATCACATCGAGTTCTTGTCGGCGCCTTCGAGCTTGGAGCCGCGGGCAGAGTCCTGGCAGACGAGTGAGACTTGCCATCCGACCCGCAAGGAGAGAGAAGCGCGGGCTATAGTTCAAACTGGTGCAGGCGCCCATCGAGCTTTTATTTTTGAATTCCACCAACGCCGACAAAATTCAAATATGAAGAATCGCTCGAACCTGCTTATCTCCCTTTAGAACTTGATTACATTTTGACCTTAACGGAAACTCATTGACTTTGCCTGTACATGATCACATCCTCATCCAACACTGATCGTGATGACTCCGACAACAAATGTGGTGTACGTGGTAATACAAGGTCAGATATATTAGCTTCAGTGTGTTTCATTATGATACACACTGAAGCCGATATTCAAAATTAAAATGAAATCTTTTATTAAAATCCATCGGTAGCGCTTTGATACTATCATAGTGCTAATTGGTGGAAAGCTACCGATGAAGCACATTGATACGATTGAACTATTTTCCTCCCTATCTCTGTGTCAAAAACGTGGTGATGTAGCTTGCGGCTGAACCACAAGATTTACATTGGGTCATCCTCATAGACCACTACTTGACATTGTCTAGCAATATCTAAATAACTCTTTTTGTAATAGGCCCTCTCCGTTCTATCATATGCTTGAGATAAAACCATTCCTGGAAAATGTTTTGTTAACCATAGATATGGTAGGTTTGTCGACATAATGGTGTTTTCTATTTGGTTGGATATCTACGGTTGTGTTTATACACGCGCTTTGTATTGGTATGATGTGAAGAGATATTAATCTCAAATGTAGACATCTGAGATTGTGTAAGCAGATCAAGTCACTCCATTTTTACAATTCAACTTTATGCTATACTAACATTTTCACACATTCATGAATAGCTAGTGGATACATCAAATGTATATCCTACAAGGATAAGCTATGAGAGAGTAAAATTATTTATGGGCTAGGATATCAATTTGGCAGGTATTATCAAGTATCAACAAATCAAAATGATATTCTCATCAACTTCTACAAAATAAAAAACTGAAGGCGCTTCCATAAGTTAGATATTTATATGTTGTACATGCTAAAATAGAAAAGACATCTAAACTATCAATTCAAATTTGCAATATCAAAAGCATCCTAAATTATAAAATGGAAGTACAGCAGTAATCAATCTTTTTGGGATGATAAAATGACAAGTGAGAAGATAGAAACCTCTTACGACCAACTTGGTAGAGTATCGAGAATACTCTAATTCCCTGTTACAAGGTTTACTTGTGGCCCCATCTCAAGATGTCTTGACGTGCTGTCCTCAGTTGTCGACTACTGCGTCGTTAACTGAGAATCTGGGATGCGACTTACAGAAGTCTTCGATCACAACAAGGCATGTAACCAGGATAGTGTGCACATTAAATTCAGCCAAGGTTTTGACTATAGGTGTGTATGTATAATTGTGGTATTATACCACTGTATTATACTGCACTGCCAAACCATATCTTGTATAATTGTATAATAAAAAGACCGTATTGGAGTTCTCACAAATGTTGTTGGTTTGCTACGGGTAGAAGATTTCAGATTTGTAATATAATCTACTCAAAATGGGAAACCAAAAGATGCTATTCGTGAGAAATTTGGAGGATGATAGCGGATATGAAGTTGAGCCTGAAGAGTACCGTATAGACAAGGATGCTAATGGTGGTAACAGTGATGAATTTGATCTCATATACGAGAGCGTCTACGACATGCATGACGAGGATACTTTCGAGTAAGAAGAGGTAATGGACCAGGGTATACCAAATGTATTGTATAATACATTTGGTATTATATTTTATAATGCTGCGCAGTCTGCGAAGAATCCAATTATACGGACCTATACGTCCTCTTAGGAATCACCCGAGCACACGACAGCGACGAAGCAATGCTAATCTCTTATGATCTGGAAGGTGATTGTAGATATGCACTGCTTGAGGGTTGTGGCACCTCTAGTGGCTTTGGCTGTATGAAACACCGTGCTCCTGCGAGCTAATCTTCCTACCGGGCTTTTACTAATCTCCACCATTCTAACATCACTTGCCTCCATAGCGCCAGTTGTGGAGGATGCCAGTTCCAGTATGGGGTGTGTCAGCTAAGTTGGAACCTGAAGGGAGAATCGAGTAATTTTGACATTCCAAAGTGATGATGACATGTTCGTCTTGTTGTAATCAAGAGCGAAGGAACAAACATACACCAACGAATCATCGTGTGGGTGATGGTGAATCCTCCCTATTTAGCGACTAGATTAGAGTTAATTACCTGGTTTGTTAGATTGGAGGAATTCAGATACTACATGCGTATCTTGCTTTATCGAAGACAAACATTAAAGTCTTCTTTAAACTGACAGATCTGTATACCTAGACTTGGAGCAATCAACGAATTATCATTCTATTTTAAATGTTATTTACGACAAACAATGTGTCGTAACTTGGAATCACCATTTTAAGAGTTATGAACAAGGGATTGGCAGTGGAAATTCTAAACTTGATAACTGCCTCTACAATGATATGCTATATAGCCAAGAATGAGATAACTTGATTAGTTATAGGATATGTGTAATTGGTGGCTTGCTAAGGTGTCTTCTGGCCATGATCACTTAAGATGCATCCAAATAAAATGAGGGAATGTAATCTTGGCATTTACAAATATTTGTAATAAACAGACATAAGAATACACTAATTTTTTCTTCTCAAGTTATTAGACACATCAGGCCAGACTTAAGCTCAGTTTGTCGAATGTCAGCTGATTAGCTACAACCTGGTTCTTCTTCTTCTCGGCCTTTTGCACCTTCATCTCTGCCATCCGGGAGAAATGAGCATTTTTTTACTTCCGTGCCATTCCCTTCAATTTTCTGGTTTGTAGACTAGAAGTACAGAATAAATCATCTGCGAAGAAAGACAAATTACAATAGTACTAAAATAGAAGTTGAAAATTTTTTGGTTTTGTCCAGTCTTCAACCTCGTGGTTTCAAAATTTGAAAACCACAAGAATGTTACTTAAATCGGAATGCTTCTTCTAGATGACAGACAAGTGCTGAACACGTGGGCGGCTTTGAGACGAAGACGTGTTTTCAGGAACTACAAACTAGGTCGATCGTTGAATCAGAGAATGTGACACTGCGCGTGTTTTTCTCCAGCTCAAGCTCAAGCGCATCAGATTGCTGATGCATTTCGAGCACTCTTGCTGGCGTACAAGAATCTCAATAGCCTACAAAGAAATCATGATTGAAGATGTGTGGTTCTTCCTCCAACCGACTGACGACTAATATATGGTCACGGCGACCATGAAAATGCCCAGTTGGACACCAACGTGGCTCATGGTGGTGGTGGTGGCTGACGTTGACGCTGCAAGCGGCGGAGTGATCGCATTGACATGAATCCTGTGTTTTTCATGCTCTTGCTGGAACTAATTCACGTGCTGTTTATCTAAGTTCGGATAGAATTTGAACTTCCAATTTCTTCGAATTTATATTGTCTAACGGGTAGACGGTACATGCATAGTTTAAGAGCGTGATTTAATATACGTCCATGAAGGAAAATATGATTGACTGATGATGCTTGTTGTACATCTCAAAGATACTATGATGCATGTTAAGGGCATGCATGATAAGGGTTGTACTATAATTAGTCCAAATTTGCCCTGACCTTTTATTCTCAAGAGATAAAACGAAAATGCATAGTTTGAAGTCATTCCATGTGGTTTTCAGTTTTAGTTATGAAATTATTACGTTAAAGCATGTTTCTTATTTTCTTGGTTGCTTTGGCTTTGTATCTTTGTTGTCCATATGAAATTATCTACCCATTATTTCATGCTCTTCCGATTTGCCATTTTGGAAAGTTAAAACTGCATATATGAATTAAAGTATATCCTTGAAAAAATTTCTAAACATTGTTATATATCCACCAAATCTTCATTTATTTTCAATCCATATCTTCGGATCGAATACGCATTGCTTCTATAGCTACGGATATGGGAAGTGAAAAGTACATGACCTCAGCCGCAATGCATTTTCAACGAGCATCCATACCGTATATCAATGTGTCGATAATTTTGTAAAAGAGAGGTCAACCGCGAGTATTATCTAGTCTTCATAGAATGGCTCTCAAATCTTCCTGAATTGACGATCGTGAAGGAATTTTTGTACATTTCAAATCTTCGTCAAGGACTGTCGTATCTGATGAAGACAAAATGTAAAGCAGGAAATAAGCACCTCACAACGTTTGTTTGCACTGTATACTGCAATCACAATGTCATCAAGACATCCGCGAACGCACGGAAGGCTTGAAATCGGTTACTGTTTCCAGACTTCGCTTCAGCCACATGGATGTACGGCGTTGTCAAGGTTTTATTGCATTCAAAGTCAAAAGACCACACCCTGTCACTTGGTGGCACAGTCAGTCGCTGTGAGCAGGCAATAAACTCGTTGACAGTTGCTTTACTTCGGATGAATCTGGTCAAAATTTCTGTCGTTTACCCGATTGCAACCATTTGCAACCATTTGGGAGCGGTGCATTTTTCTCCCAGTGCAAACCAGTCAGATATAGAGTTGATTTAAGGCGGATACTTGGCTCAAGAATAAAAATTCAGTTTCTTACCGTAACCATTTTTTATTGATGTTAGTAAGTAATGAGTTGATATTGAGAACGCAGAACGTCCTTCATTTCAGAATAAATCTATATGTACCTATGTTTTATATATAAACATACATGTATTCATCTCAAAATAAGAAGTTTATTCAAAAAAAGATGCAATTTCATTAGGAAATTATTAGTCTTGCTATTGATAAACTCTGAGATGCATCTTTCAAGTTATCCTACTCAGATTTGACTATGTACATGCGGCTCTCTTAATAAAATTGTCTTTTTCCTAAAGTATTCTAGTATAGCCGCTCATAGGACTATCGGGTCCTATTAGCGGCTAATAGTCCACAGTATAAAAAGGGTTTGAGCTGGGATTTCTGAGCTTGGTTCTGCAGTCAGTCTCATTGTAGCCGCTCCGCTCTGCTTCCTTTGTTCAGTCCGCTTCCTCTCGATGCGAATGTGCGAGTGCGGAGTGTCAGCAGACGTCGTGCATCTGTTCTGGAGCCAAGCAGGTACTCACAGAGGTTGTGCTAGGGTACGCATCGTCGGCAAGGGATCGACTCCATCGACAGACTGTCTGGCCCGAGTTTCATCGGCTTGCCCTGCCTCAATTTGCTTTCACGAGAGCCAAGTAGGAGAGCAGAAGCAGTTGTCAGAGCGAGTCTGGCCCGAGGTTCATCAGCTAGCCCTGCCTCAGTTCGCTTTCACGGGAGCCAAGTAGGAGGGGCAGAAGCAGTTGTCAGAGCGAGTGCCTTGGTCGCGGTTGGGCAAGCTAGTGAGTGGCCAATTCTGCCGTACGCCACGCGCATGCAATATTCAAGCTAGTGTGAACTGTTCGTGATTGGGCTGGTCGCTATTAGGAACTTGGAATCTCAGCCGGACGTGAAGCAGCGCACGCAGGATACAAAGATAGGAGCCGATTTCAATCAAGGGACATCGAGATGCAAGCGACGAGGCAGTTTCTGGAGGTTCCAAGCATGCTGGATCGAGATCTGCGGAGCTCGAGGGCAGTTTCGACAGGGGACTCAATGATGGCGCCGTCAACACTGTCAGGATTGGGGGAGCCGAACAGAACGGAGCCAGGAAACACGGGGCTTATCCCCAAGTATAAGATCATCAATGCAACGCTCAATGGGCCCGATTACGTTCCATCGGAGGCACAGATTCTTGCTGCGGAGATGGCGGAGGAGTTCTACGGCACGCAGGTAACGTTCGTACATGCCGACAAGGATACTTTCAAAAGCATCGTACAGAAGCTTACGGGAAACTCCAGTGTAGATTCCCAAAGTCAGGCCGCCGCACGATTGCCTGCTCAGCGAGCCACGGGCAGCGGCTGCGATGCAAGGCGAAAACCTTCGAGCTCCACGGCGAGTGTTCCCCCAGCGACGTGCAGAGCTAAAGCTAGACCTAGCACAGGGGTGCAGAAGATGGGGTTAATGCAAAGGCATAAGCTGAAGATAGTGCAGGAGGATTTCCTGAAAGGGCCTTCTACGCTTGTGAGCCCGGTCTCCGTTCTAGAAACCAGATCTGAATTCGAGCACAGCTCTCCGGAGACGGGAGGCATGGAGTTATCAGATTGCTATCAATCTTGTAGAGTAGATGTACATTTTGGGGGGATGGGAGTATCTTTGTTTCCAAATATTGTTCAGCCAAATTACCCTAAGCTTCTATCCTTGTTTCCCGAAACTCCTCAACATGACAGATGAAGGAGTTATCTGTGTCTCGAGCACATGATATTGTAGATAATTCTGTTAAAATTTCAAAACCTTGTAAAATCATCCTGATGCAACTATCGAGTTGCATCTCATAGAAAATATCTTCGTCTGTATTCAATGTACTGTAAAATATATATGGTACAAGTTTGAGAAAAGTTCAATCTGCGTCTAATCTGGTGTGTATTCACTTACATCTTCTTTGTTGTGTATCCTTTTATTTTGGAACATTATGCATCCCTAAACTGTTGCGACGCATTTCTTGTGAAATTGAAATATTTCGTGTGCAATATTTGGTTGTTTACTCATTTCAACATTGTCCAGATTTGGACATGAGATGTCTCATTGGAATTTATACAATAATATCAAGCGCATTTCATTATCCAGCTTGCTTAGCTTTCAACAGTATAGTCGTTATGAACTCCTGTGTGAAATATAATTGTGATGTATGGAACATTCCAATGACAAAATTCTCGGATCTGTGAATTGCTGATGATTTGATGTGCATAAGGTGAATGTATACCATAAATCTAACTGAAGAAACTAAAGTATGATGAATTGCGACAAATGAGCTATAGTTTTTACTAAATTCTGAGTTCAAAGCTTACAGAAATGTAAGAAGATCAAAATGACTCAGTAATGATGAAATATATATAGCTTATGAATTCTCGGAAAATCTCCTCTCTTTCTTTGTATGATCTTACTCAGCTGCAATACATGAGATTAATTTTAGTCATGATTGTTTATTGAATATATTTATTTGATTGTACTGATCTTAGATAACGTCTTAAATTTCAAGACATGTGTTGATGATGTACTTGCTTCACTAGAACTTGTAGCTCCTATCATAGGTACCATCCAATATAAGTTCTTCTCTAATCTTATAGAGTAAACAAGTTCAATGGTTTTCATTTCAGTTGTGTTGACAATGAGCGCTATGTGAATTTGAAATAGCTTAGGATAATACTTCAATGGGATCTATAAGCTCTAGGTTTCAGAAAACTCTGGTTGTCTTATTCTCAGTTTATCTCATAGTTGGGTTCATAACTTTCATTCTCTCTCCACATCATAACATCTTTCCAATCTACTCTTCCCTACATCTACCCTGGAAGTTCCAATAGTAATGAAGTGAGTGTCCAAAACTTGAGAAGAATGCAAATCCTCAAGAAACGTTGAAATTCAACCTGAGTGAGATATAAACAAACCTTCAAGCATTTGAACAATAACTAGACTTTTCTATATAAATAACCCCCGTACGTTCTGTTTTACTAAAAAATAAGTATTGTCATCAAAGAAAAATACAAAATATATGAAGTTAAGTAGAAATCTCTTTTATAATCTCTTTTAAGAAATCTTCCTTTCCAATAATTTCTAAATTTGACAAAAATGTAATTCTCGTTTAAGATATATTTGTGTTATATTTTATCTATCAAAATACATTTTCCAATTTAGCAGTGAAAAGTGGCTTTTGGCATTGGCAGTGGTTGGAAATAAAGAGTCTAATACTGCAAAAAAAGTTGAAAAAACCTGTACTAATGCCTGAAAAACATCGGCAATCAACAACTGCTTGTGTTATTTCTCTATTTGATCAATGTTGTTTTGTTTCCAATTAACTGTCCAAAGATCTTGATAATTCAAAATTAATTGAACAAAATTCCGTGTTTTTAACCTATTAAGCTACTAAGGTAAGCAAGAAGGCAAAATGTTGGAAATTGGCTGGTTGATTTCATCAAGTGTGGCTTCGATAGTTTTGGCATGTTTGATATAAATATAAAACTACTTTGTCTTCTCCTCTTAGTGATATGATCCAATATGACTTGAGGTTTGATGCGAAGATGCTACGTGTAGTTATTGCTTCTTGTAGTAGTTATTTCAAATGTCTAACATGTTGACAATTATTTAGCTGATCCTTCACGTTCAAAGCATACAGAGAATCAACAACAAACAACAACAACTTCAGAGTATGAGAATTACGAGATGCAATGCAGAGGCCATACTGTAAGAGGTGGTTAGATTGAAATGGCTTCTTTCGGGCTCAAATTTTGCATGGACACATTGTAGAAATTTCAGTGCAATCTTTTGGAGTTCAAAAATGCGGCAAATGACCAATTTTACAGATTCTAGTCTCACGCAATTCAAGTCTCTTAAATAAGAGTTTTAACCATGAACGTGTTTAAGAGACTTAAAGTGCATGACAGATTTAAAAGGTGATAATTTATCACTTTTGAGGTTTAGTTTAGTTTAAAAAGTATTATATATATTCTTGAACTAGGGAACCTCATGGCAGCAAATTACGGAATACACGGAATCTATGACACAGATTTCTGTCTTTAGAGAAACCTGCCGATAACATACACAATGCATGTGAAAGTAACTTACAAATAATATGTAAATTTCCACATATTATTCTCGTAAAGACTATATGTTCTTTTGATATTTTCATCTGTTAGATTTTAAAACTCAGTTTATCAAATTCAAAAATAATTATTATTATATCAAACAAAACATTTTAAGATCTTAGAATAATTGAATAATAAATCAAATATACATTGGAAAAAAAAATTGGAAATAATTTTTTTAAAAATATGACATTTTAGTCAATTTTAAGTAAAATCAAGGTTTTTTTTAAATTAAGTAGAAAAGATGAACATGTCAAAACATTAACGATTTAGAAAATGCATCATACAAAGGTTCAAATTTTACATCTAGAAAAAAAATTCAAATTTAACCAATGCTTCGTAGATATTGAACATGATTATGTTGCACTTTAAATTCCATGTAAGAAAATTTTTCTATGAATATCTTTTTTTGCAGATTTATCTTCTATCTGAAAGAGTATTGAACTAATATTCGTATTCAAAAAATCAATTTTTAATGAAGTTTAACTTTCAACATTTTTAAGAAATTTAGCTTTGTAATATCACTAGAATTTTCATTAAACTATTGCAATGAAAAAAAAGATACTAGAAAATATTAGTCGTTTCGCGTCTTAACAACAATTTTGGAACAATTTCATCAACTAAAACTGCATTGAATACTGATTCAGCAAAATCAGATCGGAAAGAGACAAAGTGTAAAGGCTCACCAACGTTAGACATCACGTCGACGTCCTAGGTAATCACTGCCGATAACCTTACTTGTCTTGGACCAATTAGATGAGCCGATGGATGCAAATTTACATGTTAAAGCATGAGGCACCATGGAGATTACCATAAATTTTCCAGTCTATAAGAATCTTGGTTTGATTACATAGAATCATACTGATCGTGTTCTAAGTACGTGAACTGACAGTTTCCATATATGATTTATAGCCAAATGGTCCTTAGGGTATCATAAGAACTGCAAACATTATCTGAAAATTAAATCTCCATACCAGCGGTCGAGGAAATCATAATGTCAAAACTTCGTGGTATAAATATAGTTCAGTACATTACTATTTCGATCATTCCTTCTAGTGCTTGATAGGTCTTCACAAACACTCACATTATCTACCTGGCATACTTATATCTATATATTTGCCCCGAACTGAATGGATTTGTTTTGTTTTTAATCTTGTCTAAAGAAATGTATCTAAATTCGGTTAAGACTCCGAAGACAAGTCCAAAATCCAGGAAAAGCACAATATCAGTATTACAGACCGTGTTTTCATGGAAAAGAAGACGACCGAAAATTGACAAGAACCCGGGAGTAAGTCTTCAGACATATTTAACCGTCAAAACCTCCTCGATGAACATTGACTGAATAACCTCGTAAACATTGTCCCACAGTTTGACCATTCACGGTTATAATACTCAGTCTATTTAGCAAGTCTCAGTCGTGCATCCAAATGAAGGACCTTATCTTACGATGCGAGAAAATTCAATGCCCTAAGACGTCGATTGCTCCAAAAGGTGTGTAAACGAATGATGTCAATGATCTTCCGCCTCTGACACTCGAGAATCAAAGCGCTTCAAATCGGAAACTTCACAGTCAATGACGTCGTACAAGGGGTTCCTTGCGGATGCTCTCGGTGTATTCAACACGACGGTTCTTTTTAGTCGCCTCAAGACAAGCCGCTTGTAATCAGTCGTTCAACATATGGGCTTTTCTGCGGCTGTACTTGCATTCTGAGTCTGGCGTCTCGTGGATCCAGATCATCATTTCATGCAACTAGGTTTCAAATGTCGATTTCTCTGTCCGCAAGAGACAACTGTCATGTCATACAGTACCCTCGCCGACTGGAGACGGAGAAACTTTGAACGGAGCGGTCTGAATCATTTTCAACGCTCAAGATGAGAATTATGGCTTGGCGTTGATTGAACATGGAAATCAGAATCTGTCGTCTCCCCGGAACTCGTTCTTCTGGTCCGACGGGGCAAGAGTCATGATCAGTCTCCGAGGGCTTGAATGCTTGCGCGGACTTGTGACAGTCATTGTGCGCACTCCGAGTTGAATGTCGATGCAAGTTCCAGGCTTTGTCAAAGGCCTTCCGCGTGACTCTGCACGTCTCCTACGTGACCTTAGCTAAGGCTGATGGTATGGCCAGCGTACAACAACGTTCGTAAACATGCCACGTCAGGATGGCATTTGTCATCCATCTTTCTCTTGGCTTATACTATGGCCTACCTATGAGATTTAAACTTTCATTCGTATCCTTGGGCTTCGAGCAGCGGGCAAATCTCCTCCAAGACGATACAGAGATTTATAAAATTAAGGAAATAAAACAAATCCTACATATATCCTAGATATCTATATTACATGTATTTCATATAAAATGGCAAAACACAGCTCTAATTAGCGGATTGAGTATACTAATATAAAGAGGTACTTTGAGAAGAGTATAGATGTCTGCTTTCATTTACTATTATTATTATTGTATCAATGTGTTTTCTGATATCAAATGATAGGAAATTGGAGATTTTGTCCACACATACATACTGTACTTCAAAGTGCCTATTTCACTTGCAATATTTCCTGGACGAATCATATTAATCACCGACAATGGCATGAATGCTTAAATCTTTCAAACCGGTCATGTCCTCGTTATAATTGTTGTTGCAGGATCCGACGCAGGATAATCTTTAAATTACCACAAAATTTAGTTAACATTGTTTGGTTCGGCTCTTGTATTTTGGTGTTGCAGCGAAGTTGCACTTTGAGCTGTACTTGGGTTTCCAAAAGTGTCGTAGTA